GTGTGTGTGTGTGTGTGTGTATGTGTGTGTGTGTGTGTGTATGTGTGTGTGTGTGTGTGTGTAAAATGCTGTTTTGTAAGTTAAACATGAAAAATTATATAATTATGGGTAAAATAATTATTAATTAATTGAAATATATGAATAAATAAATGAAAATGATTTTACATTTGTATATTCATGATAATTATTTTAATAATTTTTATAACTCTGATGCAGGTAAAGGAAAAAAAATCTTTTCAAGAGTTGGGGAACGAAATGCTGGTAAAGAAAATTTCAATGAAAACAAAAAGAATAAAGAGACAGAAAAGAATTACGGGTACTATGAGAAGAACTATGTTTCCTATTAGAAATGAGATCGAATATTTCATGAGAAAAATATCACCGCTGATACGTCGATTACCAACACAAACTAGAGCGACGGTGAAATTATCAATTGTTAACATGGTGATTGATCAGCTCTAAAGTTGATACGAAAATATATTTTTAAATCAGAACTTTTTCATAATTTTATCGATTAGAAAATGCGTGACAAAATTTAATAGTAAACAATTTAAAATTTCTATCATTTAACTGTCAATTTTTAATCAATTTTCATGCACATTTAAGAATTCGCAATTTTTTCTTATTTATATTATTTAAGCATTAAAGCTTCTAACTAGTTATCACGGTTATGTTGAATCATGATGTTATAAGCAAGAAAAAACATTGAGATTTCTTGCATGCCATTTGCAAATAAAGAAACATTTGGATAAAACAATACTTCAGATCGTTTTCAGATACTTGTGAAAATGGACGGAAACATGAATGAGCGGCAGGAATTCTGTTGCAGTTTCTCATTACAAAAAGATGCATTTACAGACATAAAAAAGTGACGTCCTGACAACGAAATTTTGCATTATTATTTCGTTATTATAATGTAGATGTAACTTGTCTCATAATTATTAAATTCGTAAAAATAAAAAACAACTAAAGTTACCTTCGAATTTTATATATAAAAGCATATTTTTTTTCACTTTTTTCCAACAGCTGTCAAATCGTATGTTTTTTGCTTGAATAGACTTTGTCTCACATGTCTTTTACAGCTATCGACTATTAGAAGACGAAAGGATAGTAGCCAGTGTAATAAAGTCATCTTAAATATTATTTTATTTAAATATCTTTATTTGAAAATAACATGCAATAAATTTCGCTATCATTTTTCACTTATAACATTATGATTTCAATATGGCCGCAGCTAGTCAGGAACCATAAAAACCAGATTTTCATATTTGCCAATGATTCGTAAATATACTTATCAACAGAATTTTTAATTAAAGTAGAAGTATAAATTAATGTAATTTTGTAAAAAATTATTGCAATGTGTTTCAAAGTATTTGAGAAAACATGATGAAGTATAACAATTAGAAGCTCTTAACCTTTATTTTTCTAAAAATATTTTCTTAAAAATTTATACAATAACATAAAAATTAAAAATTCTATGTAATTCTATCTTTTCTTTTTATCAGTTTGAAATACTTTGATACTGTTGATCTTGTTGATAAGTATATAATAAGTTTAAGTACTTGAACTATAAGAAAAGCAATTCATTTATTTAGATTAATTAGTGCATGAGAAATGAATGATTAATTAATTATATAGTATATATTAACAATGATGTGTGTGTGTGCGTGTGAATGAGAGAGAGAGAGAGAGAGAGAGAGAGAGAAGGAAATAGAATAAGTAAGTAAGTAAGTAAGTAAGTAGTAAAGTAGTAAGTAAGTAAGTAAGGTAAAATTAAAAAGTTAAAGTAAGTAAGTAAGTTAGTACCAGTAGTAACGTTAGGTTACGTTACCTACGGAACCGTAAACGGGGTTTAAAAAGTTTTTTTAAAAACGTTTTTAAAAGGTTAAAAAATTAAAAAAACCGTAAAATTTAATTAAAAAAGTTAAAGGTTAAGTTTACCGGTTTTTTAACCGGGTTAAACCGAAAAACGGGTAAAAAAGGTAAACCGAAAACGGGTTTAAAAGTTTTTTTTAAAACGGGTTTTTTTAAAAAACGTTTTTTTTTTTTTTTAAAAAAAAAAGGGTTTTTTTAAAAAAAACCCTTTTAAAAAAAAACGGGGGTTGGGGGTTTTTTTTTTAAAAAAAAGGTTTTTTAAAAAAAAAAAGTTTTTTTTAAAAAACGGGGTTTTTAAAAAAAAAATTTTTTTTTTAAAAAAAGGGTTTTTTTTAAAAAACGTTTTTTTAAAAAAAAAACGGGTTTTTTTTTAAAAAACGTTTTTAAAAAAGGTTTTAAACGGTTAAAACTTTAACGTTTTAAAGGTTAAAAAACCGTTTTAAGGTTTAAAAACGTTTTAAAAACGGTTAAAAGTTTAAAAGTTTAAACGGTAAAACTTTAAAGGTAACTTAATTAACTAATTACGTTTAAATTAACTTAACGTTTAACTTAATTACTTAATTAACTTAATTAATAATTAACTTAATAACTAATTAATTAATACTTTAATAATTTAATACTTTATTATTTTATTACTTTAGTTTTTACGTTTATAGTTATTACGTATAGTATAGTATATAGTATATATAGTATATATATAGTATATATAAGTAATAATAAGTAAGTTATATTATAGTTATATAGTATAGTATATAGTATATATATATATATATATATAGTATAGTAGTAGTAGTGTGTGTGTGTGGGAGAGAGAGAGAGAGAGAGAGAGAGAGAGAGAGAGAGAGAGAGAAAATGAATGAATGAATGAATGAATGAATGAATGAATAAATGAATGAATGCATGACTGTATCCAGCAAGGAATTTTATTAAGAATAAACATATAATAGATGTTTCGACAAGAAGCAAGATTTGATTTTTTAATAAAACAAAGAATTGCAATAATCAAGATTTTTTTATTCCGTCATAGAGTAGAGACATGTAAATTATGCATGGAATAGTATTATTCAAATGACCGCTTTGACTTTTCTTGCAGATTCTTACTCTTTTCTCAAAGTTTTTGATTACTTTTTCGCAAAGATGCGGTTGTATTCCAGCATTAACCGTTGTTGACTTTGAAAGTATTAATCGTTCGAATTATTGGTTAAATCGTATAATTTTAATGGATGTCGCCATTTCGATTAGGGAACATTAATGCGCAATAAAATGATTATATTTTGTCACTTATATACGGCATATGATTCTATCTTGTTGGAATTAGAGGTCCATATTCTCGAGCTCAGACCGTAAAAAATCAGTCAACATGTCTCCATAACATACTTTGTAACAGCTTTGTAATTTCAGGAAATGACATCAATTGGTCATCAAATTTTTTTACGATTTAACACCATTAGATCTTTCTTTGGAATTACATCAAAGAAAAATCTATGTTATGTACCAGCTACTCCACACATAATCTACATGTCTAAATCCTATGCCAATAATCCATAAACGATTAACGCTCTCAAAGCCAGCATCGAAGCCGCTATTAAAATGCAATCGCATCTTTGAAAAAGTGATCGAAAACTTCGAGAAGAGTAAGGATCTGCAAGAAGAGCCAAAATTATTTGAATAATCTATTATTCCACATATAATCTACATGTCTTTACTAATAGTACAAAGAAATTTTAATTATCGCAATTCTTTGTTTTACTCAAAAAACAAATCCTATACTTCTTGTTGAAATATTCTATATATACTGCTTCTACATATACTTATTTTGTAATGTAAAATCGATAAAAAAGTATGACAAAAAAAATCATGTTAAATTTCATTTTTCTTTCTAATTCAATGACAGATTTCTGATCTTTCTTGAACAATGTATTACAATTTGTGATAAAATATTTGATAATACATAATAAATATGCAACTTTAGAATCCATATTTTCAACAGGAATAGAAATTGTAAACACAAATCATTAAAATCGTATGATTTTGATAATCTTTGATAATCTTATCTTGTATAAGTTCTTCTTGATAAATGATATAAATTAATTTATTTTAAAGCATTTTTTTTAAAATAATTAATTAAATAGTTGGAGAACTATGTCTTGAATTTTTCTGTGAAATAAAATAACTTTATTTCCCACCTCCTTGCAGAAAAATTATGTGAATGTTTAATTTAGATATACACATCATTGTATATTAATTATTAAATATATTATTTTCAAGAAATATCTTTATATCTTACACGTGATTGTAAACTGTCACTTGTAAAAGATAAAAAAAATATATATATATGTATATGTTCATAGTCCAAGAATATTATTTTTATGTATTTAAAAAAAGACATAAATTATAAATAATACTAATAATAACTGTAATAATGTCACGATAAATAAAATTTATCTTAAGTGAAATGTTTTTTTAAATAGATGATACCCATGATAAGAATATTGGTATGTTATAATTTCAATATCTACAAATAGTATATCACAATTTATTTATTTGTTAACAATATTATTTAACAAAATTATTCATATCTCACTATAAAATTCTTGAAATATCATATTTCAAATTGTTTAAATAATTAACAGCAATTAATAATCATCAATACTGTATCCATAGTTTGTTTGCTTTGTTGCATCTATATATATTCTTTTATGTGCACATATGATTCATATAAATCTAATTTAAAAATTAACAAGCAAATGGCTAAATATTAAAATAAATTATATCAAAATAAAAATATAGATGAAATGCCAAAATTAAAATTTTTCTCAAATTTACATTTAGAAATCAATACATGACAAATGTTAGTGACAAAATTTAAAAATTATTTAAAAACTTCATTATTAACTATAATTTTTTCTTAATTTTGATCTTTTTACTAATTTATAATTTAATTAAGTTATATAATTCATTTTTAATTATAATTAATCATATTATTTTTGTTTTCATAATAATAATTATAAGTAAATTATTGCTTAATAATGAATATAAAAATAGATATCCAGTGCTTATAATACGCTTGTTCTGCAAAGCAATACTAACTACAATATTTACATTAAATAGCAAAATAACATTATGGTAAATTGGCAAATGTTACTATTTATAATTTGCATTATTATTTATTTAATAAGTATTATTAGTAAAATACTTATTTCCCTGATATTTGTATGGTACAAATATTCTTCAATTATTTAATCATGCATCTAACTGCGAAGACTTTGTAATCGGTTCTTCATCTCTTCAAGTTCTTTATCATCATCTTCTGTTTCTTCTTCTGCAGAAGTAGAGGGAACTCCAGGATTCTCTGTGACAACTGCAGGAGCTGTACCCAATTGACCAGCTGTCACTTCCCATAAAATCTATTAAAAGAATTTTATATCATTATATATATAATATATATATATATATATATATATAA